ATGAATTCTTTCTTTCCATGTAAGTTGTTTATTATTTAGTTGTAAATAGTTTCTTAAATCTATATCTTGCAATTGTAATACTAAAAAATAATCTTTTGTTAATGGATCCTGAGTAATACCATAACAAACAACTAACTCCGCCATTTTATTACTTAATGTTAAATGAGAATGTGCCTATAAACAGAATTTAATTTATTAGCATTTTAATGATATAATTGAATATTTAAAATATTTTATACCTCTTCAAACCATCTCCTCTTAGCGCTTTCAACATTCTCTAACCTTTTAAGTATTACTTTGCGCGTTCCATTTCTGTTTAATTGCTGCGTATCAGAATTCCAAATAAGCTTTCCGCCAATCCAATCTGCAGTATATATTTCAGAACATCCACCTTTAGTTAAATATTTTATTTTTTGTAAATTGTTATGTGGGATCCATTCAATTATAGAATCTTGGAAAATTGTTTCCATTTGACATTTCTTTATTAATTCATCAATTTCTTCATTTCCAGACGTCCAATTTATGAATTTTGCTTTTAAATAATTTCGAATACAAAGTTCACAATATGATATCGCTAAACATTCTTGTTGGCAGTTCTCACAAATTCTTTTCCTTCCTTGATTATTTATAACTTTACGTTGTTCGTAATTTTCTCTTAATAATTTTATTACTTCCGATTTTTCATAATCTGTAAGAGATTTATCAGCTATAATTGTTTGTCGGCTCAATTCAAACTCTTTGTCTATGTCAGTGTTATGTATTAATGTGGTTACTTTTTCATATAGTTTATTAACTAATTCTCTACGAATAAATGTCATAATGACAATGGAATAAGAAGATAAAAAGATGTTTGTATTTCTAAATAAACGTAGTCCGATAACTATTTTAACTCTCAAGTTACATAAGGTTCATTATAAAAATTTGAGGAGTAGAATAATTCTTCTTGCTTGAAATTTGAAAAATTTAAGATACTTATAGTTTTTTTTAATAAACCGTTATCACCGTTTTGAAAAATTAAAATTCTTTCCGAACTGATATACGGAATTCTAAAATGAAAGTTCCAATTAAAATTTCTAACGAGAAAATTAAATATACAGAAACAAAAGTTGTGTTACCGTTCGAAAATTCGAAAAATAACAAAAATTTCTCTGAGTTAGCGACATTTATTTGTTGAACTTCTTCCAGTTGTTGTTGAACTTCTTGCAACTTGACTAGATTTCTTTGAGCTGCCTTCTTTCTATTCTTTTGCTGTCTTTCTCTCGCAAGGCGTTGGTGATTTCTTGATCTAACAAAATGTAGGCATCTGGAAGTTTTTCCCAATTTGTAAATTTGTTCCAATTGATTAATTAATATTCTCAGGGTCTTTATATACTTGTTTGATTAGTAGATCATTTACTTATTAAATAAAGAGATCGAATAACTAAATTTAACCATAAACATAACGATAAAATAATAAATAATTTATTGATATTCTTTTTTTTAATGTTAACATCATGGATGTAGTATAGGTTTTGTGCTTACCTTCCTAACAAAAAATTTTAATAAATTATTGTTATATCATTTTACCTTATTAATCAAAACATGGGTGCTTTAAGTGCTTTAAGTAATACAAAAAAAAGTTTAACCGATATTTTTTAAAAAAGAAGCGGGATTTTTTTTTTTTGAAAAGCAGATAAAAAATTTTTCTCTACAAAGAAGCAGTTAGAAGGTCTACTCCGAAATAATTATCTTATAACACGATTTGAATTATTGTTATTCACATTATTCATTTTATAATTAAATACATCATCGTCACGTGATAACTACGCCATTTACAATTTGGATTAAATTAAAAAATTATTATTTATCAAAAATTTTATTCATCCATTGGTGTTCCATTCGCAAAATTAATAAAAGTATATTTAAATTAAAAATAATAATGCATATGAAAATAATTAAAAGAAGGATTATGACATACATAATTAATTCAACCGAGAAAGTTTAATATAAAATTTAAGATCATAAAGAAGGAATTCCTAATAATCATGCCAAAATATCCGATAGGAATAGATTGTCTAAGTGCGAAATTTCTGGATTTTAATACGTCAGCTGACGACCTTTTTCGCATTTCATTTTCATATTTTTGAATACAAGGAATCAAATCTTCTGACGAACCATTCAATAGTGCTTGAGAAAGAATGTCAGCATCTTGAAAGGCATTGTTTGTCCCTAACCCGAGTACGGGATTCATAGCGTGAGCTGCATCCCCTAATAATGTTATTCTATTACTCGTCCAAGTAGTAATAGATAATGGATCGATATCTCGCAATTCTCTTCGTTGTATAGGATTATAAGTCTTGAATGGACAATTTTCTTTTTCTGAATCGGTAGGTGACGTTTTAGGGGCTAATTCCCATAATCCTAATAGTACGTCAGTCATTTCATTTGCAGGCCTTAATTTTCGAGTTAATTCTTTGACACGTTCAATAACTGATGCAGGATCATTATCATCAACCTTGATGTCATCAGACTCATCTAATTTCTTGGGGTACGAATAAGCTAAAGTTAACCTATAATGAATTTCATCGGAATCGTTCTTTTTCTTGTCATCTGATTCTTGTTCGATTGGGATTAATCGAAATAAAAGAAATGTCCAATCGCCATTTAAACCAAGGGTCTCCTGAACTAAACTGTTTCCATGAACTTTAATTAATCTATCCATAAGATGTTTGGGCACAGAAACATTTGCATTAACTTGAGTTACTCCATAATTGAGAGGTTTCAATTCTGGTAATTTCTGATTTCGAACTATATAAAGGTAGAAAAACCTTGTCAGTTAAATTAGAATGTTAATATTTGTATCCTTAAAATTGTGATAATAAATTACCTGAAGAATTAATTCCGTCCGCGCCAACCAAGATGTCACAGAGTTCTCGTGAACCATTTTCAAATTTTACCCAAACACCTTCTTTAGTTTCTTCGTACCCAATACATTTTTTATCCCAACGAACCGGTACACCTTCTAATAAGATTTCTCTAAGTCTATCTCGATAAGAAATGATTACCATTTATCGGTCGCTTGTTTCATTTCGAAAAGTTCACGTTGGTTATTTGGTGGTTGCAATAAAGCACTTCCTGTATCATCGCTGACCATAATCCTATGGGATTCAACATCAGGAATTGGATTTAAGATCGCTTTGGGAAGGTTTAAAGCGATTGAAGATGGTACACAATTTAAAAGAGATACAATTCCACGAGCATTCAAAGTAATATGATACCCTTGCCATCGATCTATTCTTACATGAAATATTTCGTTCGAGTTATTTACAAGTTCATTACATTGATACAAGATGGATTTTCTTTTTTACCTTCTGGTGCAGAGTCCCGTTCGAAGATTTCTACATCGAATTCTTTTTTTTCTTTATTCTTTATTAAAGCATGATAAAGACTAAGTCCTCCTGGACCTGCACCAATAATAATACTTTTGGAATTTTTGCGTAATGCATTATATATATATATTTTTTTTTTTTTAAAAAAAAAAAAAAAAAAAAAAGTAGCTATCTAGATTAAATATTTAAGAACACGTTTCTTTTTTGATGAATTGAAATAACGATAGATATGGGTGGATTTTATATTAAAAAAAAAAACCACAGAACAAACACTTTGGGGGAAAATCAGCAAATTTTGCCTAATACAATGCTTTATTTACCAAAAATTTTAAATTATTTAATTATTTAATCGATATGATTGATTGTTCCTTTTTGTCATTATTAAATGGGAAATTCTTTCTCTTTCCAAAAACTGTAGATTTTTTGTTCCCCATTTACAGAAAAAAAGAATTTAATTTTTTTGAAAGGAATTTTCGATAAATTTACCACGCCACAAAAGATAAACGAATTTGGTAATGCATGTAGGTCTTTTAATAACAATATGAACACAAACCTTCAATATATATGAAAAAAGTTCTATATAAATGTAAAGTATTAGAATAATTATTTACTTATTATGGAATGTTAAAAATGATTATGATTGACCATAAATTCATTATATCCAAACATCAGAATATCTTGTCAAACTCGAATATGCATGCAGAGTATTTCTTGAATTGTTCGTCATAGAAAAATTCAAATAATTGTTTTTTTTGGTTAATTTGATAATGATAATGAATTATATGCAGTATACCATACCCTTAAATACCTTAACTGACTAAAGCCGTTTGGATTTTAATATTATAAGGATTCATTTTCGAAAAAAAATGTTTATCGCACCACTTCACTGCCCTAAAAAAAAAAAAAAAAAAAATTATCGACAAGTTTTAAAATAATTTGTACTTTTCAACAAAAATGAGCCAATCAGACATTCTAACCATTATTATCGTAGGAGCAGGACCAGGAGGATTATCTTTGGCCCAATCTATTCAAAAGAATCACAATTCACCTGAAAAAAAATTTAATATAAAAGTATTCGAGCGAGAGACAGCACTTCAAGGTATTTATGTCTGATCCTGATATATATTTTCATCCAAATTCATCTAAACCTTATATTTCAATAGAGCGATGGCAAGGATGTTTCATCTCGTTAAATTCAGGAGGCGTAAGATCATTATTGAAATGTGTCCCAGAATCACTCACTAAACGTCTTCACGAAGCGATTCCTGATCCTATAGTTGATCTTGAGACACAGAATATAAATATTTGTGATCATAAAGGCTCGCTTTTACTAAAATCACCAGCCTTTAAATTTAAAAATTTACATGAATATAGTAAATTGAAAAGTGAATTTACCGTTGCATCAACTTATAGGGATAGATTAAGAGACTTATTGTTAGAAGGTATTGACGTGCAATGGGGAAAGAAATGTATTGGATATGAAGAAGATGAAGAAGGAGTTTGTGCAATTTTTGAAGACGGATCTAGGGTTAAAGGTGATTTCTTAATTGGCGCGGATGGAATAAATTCTCCAAGTAATTTATCTAATAATTTTTTTTTCTTGATTTCTTAATTCGTCGTTTACGACAACTTTATTTATTTACCATGTTTTTAATTCTACGTATTTGTTAGTTCGAAAACAGAAAATTCCCGACTTGAAGACACTTGATATTGGTATTACCGATACAATCGTGGATGTCTTTCCCGAAAAAGGATTGTTGGATCGATTGAACGCGATAACAGGAAAATCTATCTTGAAAGTAACTATTGGTACAAATGGAGATTGTATGGGATGTATCTATCGTTATATTCCATTCAATTCCACAGAAGTAAATAATGAAACACGTTATCGAATATCGATGGGGTATTCATATTTAACCGAACAAAAGAAAAAAAATGATGAGGTGGATGATAAAGCTGATGACCTGGCAACGACTAAATTACCTGAAGATGATGAAGTTGTGGATGAAATCAAAAGAAGAATTAAAGAACATAGACCCGAAGGGGAACTAACATCGATCATGCTCGAGTTATGGGATTTAGCAAAAACTAGGAATGAAATTAAGGAAGAAAAATACCCTCATAAAGCAACTTTTCCGCTTATTAATAGGCAATTAAAAGATATTGATCCATTATCTGTTAAAGAATGGGAAACTACAAGAGTAACATTGTTAGGTGATGCGATTCACGCAATGAATCCATGGTTGGCATTAGGAACGAATAGTGCGATTGAAGATGCATCTTATCTTTCCGATGCTTTTGGGAATTTGAGTAAGGATAATTGGAAAGAAAACATTAACCATTATGAAAAAGAAATGAGAACTCGTACATCCAAGTACGTGGTTACGTCAAGAAAAGCAATGCTACGTGATCATGAACCATATCATACCTTTATTGGAATCCTTTTTAGAAATTTAAGATTCAAGCTTTTAAGTAAAGTTATGAGTGTCGTTACTTGGTGGAAAGGTGATAAGCAAGATGGTTAACTTGGTTTGTTCATATTGAAAGTTCTATGATGAATAATCATTGAATATTAGAAGAATATATACGTTGAAAAGTTATCGTTCTTATTAGAAAATTCATCCATATTATTTGCTTTATATTCATGATCATACTTTTAATAAAGGAAGATAAAAAAAAAAATTTTTTTTTTTGATTATTTAAAATTTCAATTTTCCCGATACTTGTTTTCCTTTATTAAATGGGTCGTCATGTCAAATTGCTTGCATTACCGAAAAACGAAGAGAGTAACGTGATAAAATTTTCTAGAACAATTTTTAAATGATGAAAGAATATATATATATTTTTTTGATGTAACAATATATCTTTGGTTAATGAGATAAAGCCCCAATACTTTTACATCACCAAAAAATTTGAGCATAAAATTTGATTGGTCAAATATCAAATTTTTCACCAAAACATAATAAAATGAAATTTTTTTGGGAAAGTATCTCGGGCTGTGTCAAATATCAATCCAAAATAGAGAGGAAATGGCGTATCCGGAAATGGCATTTCTAATCCATAAATGTACCAAAAGAACGAAAATAAAAAATCATTTGACCAATAAGCGGATCTGAAATGTGAAAAAAAAAAATTCAATTTTATGATATCATCAATGCAGGAGGTGATCCTAGGAAAAGTTTAATTTTATTTTTACCAATAAAATTTGTACATGAATCTCGATCCGATGATTCGATTATAGATTCTTAATAATGACAAAATAAAAAGATTTTTTTTTTTGATATCCAAATCGACCTATTGGCAAATAAAATAAATCACATCAAGGGAATGAAATGCTATAATTTTCATAGAAAGACCGAAATGTAAGGATCCGAATAGGCGTATGCACTACTAAAAAGATTTTTTTTTTGCGACAACGAATAAAGAAAACTTTTGTGACGAAAGAGCATGCACGAATTAACCATTTAAGATTCAATATCAATGTCGATTTGTTATTGATATAGAATTTAATACTAAAATAGACTCGTATAGAATAAAGATATCTAAAGCCTTTTTTTTAGCCTTTTTTTATTTTTAAAAAAAAAAACTCGAACGCGAACATAATCAATTTTTTTTTATCAGGCAAAATAACCTCATTGCACATAAACGATCGTTTGATATGGCATAGGTTCTTGTCCAAAAAAGGGGTAAAAAAAGGTTTGATTACAAAGGGTAATGCAGACGATTAAAATATCTACAAAAAAAAGTTTGATACGTAATAAAACGCGACAATTTAATAATAAAAAGTAAAATATTCTGAAGATCAGAGAACTCGGAGAACGGAATCATGCTTCACACATCATTAAAATAATCCTCCTTCGCATTAAAATTGTATAAATGAATAATTTGATTAATAAATAAAATTAGATTTTAATAAAATCCTCATTCGACGCGATATTATCTTTTTTGACGGCTGAAATCTTTTGGTCACAATAACTTTTTTTATTTATTCATTTTTTTGGTCTAAAAAGTCGCGATTTCTTCTTTTCTTTTTTTATATAATGTTACTAAAAAAAAAAATAATGCAAGTGGTCAAAATTTTATTTATTCGAATCTTTATAAAAGGTCTTGGATTTTTCCTCATCAACATTTTCTTTACAATTCAAAATTACAAAATATCATATATCGTTATGGATGTCTTCAACTATTGTCCATACATTACCCAACTTGATGATAAATGTTATCTTAATGTTCCACAATCCTTTATATTCCAATATCCTTTACCCCCGACGTCCTCACCAATATTCCTTGAATACAAGAAATTCGGCAGCTTCCAATTTTTCAGAAAATTTCTTCAAGATGCCTTGGGAATTGCTACCAGAGATGCTTCTCGAATAGCAAAATTTATTTGGAATTCAGCCGAAGACAAGTTCAAGATTTTTTTTGCAGACTACGCTGAAAAAGTAAAACGTGCAGTTGAAGCAGTAAAAGCTCAGGTAGCTCATGTATATCGCTTTAAGCCATATAACGGTTCTAAAATACCAAAAAAACAAAAAAAATCGCGTCAAATTGAATTTCCAAATCATAACCAAATAAATCAAGAACAATCGACTCCTTATGAACAGTATTTACGAGATTTTGAATTCCATTTTATGCATTAAGCTTTTTTTTTTTTTTTTTTTATTATATAAAATATTATTTGCTCTCCAACGTCTTTTTTTTTGTTTAAGATATTAGACACTCAAGTCTCTCACTTTTTTTTAAAAAAAAATTAAGAAATTATGATTATTTCTCGCTTATACAGTATTATGAAAATATATATATATATATATATGGGGTTATTTTAGCATTGTAGTTATTGTTTAATTATTTAATTACAAAATAAGAAATTATAATAAAGAATTCGGACTAAAGTTGGCTCGACAACCAAAGTCTTTAAAAATTATTTCAAGGGGAAGCATAAATGTTTTACATCAGAAAAAAATTTTTTTTATTTTTTTCAATTCAAAGTAAATTTAGAAAGCCATCAAAGAGACCCGCCCTCAATAATGAAAAGTGATCGACATTGCATTGCATCAATCACATCTTTTTCGATGTTACATATAATTTTTAAAAAATGATCGTATCCATTAATAAAATTTGACCATTCGGAACGTAACGGGCCTATTCTCGATTATTGGAAATCAAAATCAAGTTTCATTTTAAGATTATATTAATAAGCACATGACGTTTTCTTTATTATTTGACAGAAAATTCTAGTTATTTGGTTTAAATTGAAATATAATAATCCCTAAATGAAACATAATGAATTGTATCACAAAAAAAAATTTTTTTTGTTTCAAACAGCCTTTAAGAATGATTAAAGAGGAAAAAAGACTTTTTTGGAATAGATCCATAATTGGGATAAAGTAATAAGAGTTGATTCTTCAAATAAATCGAACTGCTTCACCTCTCGACTTAACTTGATTTAACTTGATATTAAAAAGTATCAAAAAAAATTTTTTTTTTGAATGCATTATTTTTTATGTTATATTGAATAAGTAAAAAATTAAAAGAAAATAATATAATATATTATAATAATAAATATATAATAATACTAATAATACAGTTTAAATATAAGGCTGAAAATTTGAATTTGACATGTTTGACAGCTACCGACTGCACGACGCTGCGTCATTTCGCATATAATTTATCAAATATAGAATAATATAGAAGAATTTGGGAATAAATGATTGATAACAAGAGTTATAAAAAAAAAGAAGCTGATTAGGCGTATATCTTATTTTTTTTTTAAATGTACAACGATTAGATTAACCTCGATATAACTGACATCAATGCGTGATTGCGGAGGTGTTCACCTGATTCACCTGAGCAAGTAATGATTTCATTGTATTCCTTTGCAGTCGAAATCTAATCCGTAGAAAACTTGAAATGGACAGCCAATATGATATAACAATTGAACTCATTGTTTTGTTCTTGTATCAATTTATCCTAAAGTGAAGAAAACAATGACGCGCTAGATGAATTCAATTTAGTAGTTAAAGGGCGCGCGGGCAAATAATATGATTTTCTTTCACCCCATTTTTTTTAAAAAAACAGATTAACTGTTTTTTAAGTAAAATGAAAGTGAACCGTAAAATTTCTTTTTTTATCTGGGTTGCAATAATGAATCGGAGTAAGGATAACGATTGTGAAGCTCTATTGGTGTGATATATGTTTGATGCATATTATAATGCTATCAATATATTAATTTAACGGCATATATCTCTTTGCATATACGATGCTCTTTTAACGCTATATTTGATCGAAAAAAAGTCGCACATGACACAATCTTCCCTTTCTCTTTATTTTTTTTTTGTATTACTTTTATTTTACTTTTGATCCTTCTTTTTTATTCTTTTTTAATCGAATAAAAACGAAATTAAATCAGCGTTAAAAAAGAATATATCTATTATGTACACTTTTCTAAATTTTAAATCCTTATAAAAAGGCTTCGATGATTGGATTCTCCAGTAAGAAAAGTTTTTTACTTCGTTAAGATAATTCCTTAATGACAACGATAAAAGAAAGAAATGGTCGATTGTTCATTACCATTCCAGAGCTGAATGTGTCCAATTTACCTCTCTTGCCGATCGATTCGGATATTTATAAATCGTTTGGTCCCCTTAATAATTTTGCAGTATTTCGTCGAATATGTCAAGAACGCTTGAACTCAAACTGCCAAGAAGTATCCAAAATTGCTAGTCACTTGTGGAAACAGGTTCCTAAACATGTTAAGGATACCTTAAAAGAATATAGTAGTAAGATCGCGAAAGCAAAGGCGCCAAAGATTACCTTTAAAACGAAGTCGTACAATAAAGAAGATTATATGAGAACTAAATCAACAACACGTCGTCCAAAGAAAATCAAGGATAAACCAATCGAACTTAATTCAGTTGAGGCCATGATCCCTTTTTTGATAAAAAAACCACCAGTTGACGAACTATGGTTTCAACTAGAGAAAATTGCGGGTGATATCTTTAGTCAAAAATTAAATGAACACCAAATTTAATGAAAACTAAATTCTCCTCATGAATAATTCAATTAATTCAATTATCCAATTTGCAATTCCTTTATTATATAAATTAAGCTTTTTTCCTATATATATTAATTAATATGCAGCATTGATTATATGCGAATTTCTTCGATATTTTTTTTTAAATTTTTTATATTCCCCTTGAATAAGCTATGCCGAATTCAAGCGAGACAGATTCTTTTTTTTTGTTTCATCCATGGAAATATATGGTTTGATCACCATTTTAAGATTTTCACGTGAATCCCATTTTTTCTCGTATTACGCTTACATCATTTTTTCTTAAATATATTTTTTTTTGGATATTCACGTCGTACAAACAGCAAGTAATTCTCGTATGATAAAATTTATACTATAAAGTAATAATAAAATAAAATACGCTAAACTAAATAGGAAAACCCTATTTTTTATATATGTGTCACCGATTTTCTTAAAAGGAAAATTTAATAAAACGCGTTTTTTAAAGTTTTTTGTTTTATTGAATATTTGATGCATAAACGATCGATTTAGACATGAGAAAACACATGAAAGTTCGTTCATTCAGACTTAATCAGGATCTTTTCGAATGTAATTTTTTTTCTTTTTTCTTTTTTTTTTGTTTCTTGATTAAAATAAAAAAAAAGTATACAAGGGATGAAAAGGAGGTTGGAGTAATGTAATTGAAAAAAAGAAAAAATCCCTCCCCCACAACCGAGTGAAATTTGAAAAAAAAAAAAAAATTAAATAGTACAAAAAAACGATTTATAATACGGTATGGTATGTAATGATGTTTAAATTGTATTTTTAAAAAAAAAATTAATGAGAAAAATGATAAAAATGATGAAAAGATGAGAAACAAATGATAATAATTATTTCTAAATGGGTTGTTGATAAAGAAAATAATCTAAATACAATAACTTAAAATACGTCTGAACAAATATATTAAAAATTGGATAAATAATAAATAAATAAATAAACATATCAAAAGAACTACATTTTAAAAAAAAAATTTTTTTTCTTTTTTTAAAGAAATACAAATCCTAAAATACAATATACAATTATTAAATCACATTTTTCATTAAAGGCTTGAATTAAACAAACCTCTTATTATTTACTATAGTACTTTTACTTTTTTTCCCCCTTGGGGATGCGTAGATTGCATTATTCCGGATACCAATCTTCTGCATCCACAAATTCATCGTCGTCATCGTCGTCATCATCATCATCAACATCATAATAATAAAATTCATCAGATTCATTATTTATTATTACTGTAGGAATGCCTCCAGATTTTAATCTCTCATATTCTTCTTCATAAGCTTCAATGTCAAATCCATCAAAATCTTCTTGAGCATCTTCAAAATCAAGACTGATAATACTAGATACATCATCTTTAAAGATACTCCTGTCATCATCAGTGTCCTCATTCAAAGGTTTGATTTCCAACTCAATTTCTCCTGTATGTAAAAAGCTGAAAGTTTCATCATGGTCTGGTGATCTTGGAGGCGTTGTATGACTAGAATCTGTATTTGAAGTTGGAGTTGAACATGGTAATGTAGAAAATGACGACGTTGACGACATTGATATTAAAGTCATGGTTGAATGTTTCTCTTTCTTAATATTATCTATGACAGGTTCTGGTGTCTCTAAAACTTCCAGAGTTGGTTCTAATGAATCTTTACTGGACGGATCATATTCCATAGAGCTTTCCCCGATCCTGTACATACTTTTTCTATTTTGCCAATAGTTATCATCGTCCATGACTGTGGCGCATAAATCTTTTTCCAAGATTTCATGATAACAAACCAGCCGGCTTAATTCAAGGCAAGTGTGTTTTAGTTTTTGAGCTACTACCAGAGCAACTTGTATAATACGATCCCTTGTTGTATTCTTATAAGGTATCATAAGAAATAAATTATTCCTAAATCGTACATCTGATTGAAGCTGTGACGTTAACGCTGATATCTTGCTTTGAAGCTCATCAATCTTAGACTATAAAGGAGATCAGAAAGTGTTAGTATATCGGTTACTTAATATTTAAAGCATCCTACATATTCTTCAATTTTTCATACCCTCAACACATTTGCTCTTCCATTAGCATCATTTGCGTTATTATCATCTTTAATTCCAAGTTTGTTGTTGAATATATTTCGTGGGTTCTTTTTATCCCTTCTTCGAACGTTGATATGCCTCATTTTCAACCCGACGGTCTTAAATGTCGCAGCATAATTAATTTTTGTAATCCAATCATTCATTTCAATCTCATTTTCGGCTTGGAAAAGATACTGATGACCTTTAGGACACACAAGCCGGAAAACGTATGGATGCTTTGTGTAAGTTCTATCATATACGGCAACCGATTCTGCCGTCATGAGAATTACATCAGGTCTTAAGGTTGGACGCTTTTTCGATTTCTATAAATATTTTTTTTAAAAAAAAAAAATTAAAATTTTAAACTTATAAAAGAATTAAAATGTATAACATAAAATACCTCAGAATTATATAATTCGGCCATTTGAGTATTAAACCAAGCTTCATCCTTAAAGAACATTAACTGACTTCCACTTAATATCACACCATATTGTCTCCAACTTCTTACAAACCCACCCTTCTTTTTACCTTCAACCAGGTCCACTTTCCTACCCAATTTACCACCCTTAGTAATTTTAAGGACAAAAGTTCCATCCTCTTCATCTAAAGGTTGCATTGAAGTATTTGTGGGGTTGAAAGTTTCACCATTTCGTCGAGTTTGAACCCCTGTAACCCTAATGGTATGTGCGCTTGCAAAAGCTCGGTGCAAACCTACGGTATCCAATGACGGGTAGGTTCCCATGTAAGAATATGGATTCTCTACAGGAACCAAATGTCTGATTGCAGGCTTAAACTCTGTTGGAATTTTCTATAAAGGAAAAAAAAGTTATTAATTATAAAGTGTACATATATATATTATTATAAAAAAAAACTGCTTACGGTCTGAATAACTGTATAAGGATCATTTCTTGTACGCATTGATTTTCGTCGTTCTTTTGAAGAAGAAAAAATCCGTAACTGTTTATGATCCGCCGGCGATTCAAGTATGGTTTGACCGTTCACGTCAATGTCATCATCGGCATATATAAACTGTGTGAAGGTGATATTATCATAGAGAATCTGCCAAAAAGGGGCTATATTAGCAAACTAATATAAATCCGTAAACTCCATGATTTTTTTTTGTTTATCAAATACCTCTAAAATTTCAGGGGGTACGCCATCAATGCGTGTATTCTTTACAAATTCCTCCTTTGTCATTTTACGTTTAACGCTCTTGTTGAATGCATCCGTATGAAGCATTAATAAAGAAAATGCAAGGACATATGGAGTATCTACATAAATATATATATATAAACGCGTTAGAAAAAGAGAAAGCATTAAAATTAAATTTTCCAAAGATATTTTGTACAATTCAATGTATCCTCCTCACACCATTCATTATTTTACTTAACCTCCCTCACCTCCATTCAAACATATAATTCAATAAGTTTTTCCAGTTTTTATACAAAAATTACATACCCGGAGAAGAAAACAAGTCGGGATTAGAATCAAAATATTTCTTTGCGAAAGATTCCATGACACGATCAATTTGTTGCGTTTCCTTTGGAAGATGACATTCCATCAAAAATTTTCTAGAAATAATAAGGTTATAAACTTCAATAAGAATAAATAAATGAAATGATTCTTATTTAAAAAAAAAAATTTATTTCAAAAGTAATTTCCCTACCGTAATGCAATATCAATAGGGTCTTTATCAAAGTCGAAAGCGTTCATGTATTCCTTTAGAACGGCCTGATGGAAGGAATCTGATCTGTTATTATTAAAAAATAATTTTTTTTCGTAAGTCAAGAAATTCTTATTAGACACGAAACTTTTCAAATTTTTTTTTGAAAATGATCACGTACTTTTTCGCTAGCATGGTAGCAAGCTTTGATTTTGATAAAGTATATTGCATCCTTTCAAGATATTGCTTTGGGGTCTCGGTACTCGACTTATTTTCCAATGGTGTTGTGCTTTTTGGATCCATTTTATTTAAATTAGACATGGACTTTGTGGATAGAAGAAAACTATCATACATTTCATTATTATTAATTGACAAATTAGGAATAACAGGAGCCGATTCAATACGTTTAAGATAATGATGAGGTTGCCTTCGAGGGTCAGAATTGTCAAGGTGAGGGACCTTTTGATAACCTTTTAGCGTGGGTCTCGCCGAAGGAAAAGGACGCGGTGAATCGGACGATAATGTATTAGATGAAGAAGATGAAGTGGGTGAAATTTGTTCAAATTCTTCTTTTATTTTTACGGGATCGGTGGAAGTTTTTGATGAAACTATTGTAATAGATGAAGGATCATTAACGCTTATATTATTATCGAGTGATACTAAAGCGGGACCAGTGGTTTTTTGAGATGCTGGTTGAGATAAATTTTTATTGGTAGCATCGTCACCGTTACTACCAAGTTTATCAGGTTCAATTGGGGAAAGACTAAAGTCTCCAAAGTCCAGATAAAGTGGGCCTTGCCCCGGTGAGTTTTTAGCCGATATGGTTGTCGTGGTGACGGTGGTTACCGTAGTCGTTGTGGTCGTCCTTGTAATCTTTGTCGTTGGATCTGGCTCAGCTGTTGACGAAGTTGGTGTTGTTGACGATAACGGTGGTGGTATTTTCTTTGTCGTTGTAAGTTGTGGCTTTGTATCATAAGGTGAAGGTTGAACGATGTTCTCAAAACTCGACGTAATTTTCTCTAAATTATTACTTGGTGGTATATGAGAAATTATGGGACTTTTTGTGGAAGAATTATTTGTTTTGCTTGATGGTTTTTTATTATTTGCAAACATATTAATAGACCAACTATTATATCTATACAAAAAGTTCGCGACCACCCTTGAAGAAGTCGTACTCTACAATGTTAGTCTATAAAAAAAAGAATAAGAAATCTAATGGTTGGTTCTAAAGTACAAATAAAGGACAAGGAAATTGGATATTCGGAAAGGGGTTGAAAAGTCCAGTTGTTCGGGACATAAGCATAAGACACAGACTTAAATAGCAAAGGAAGGTTTGTAATGATTTCTTGAGCGCCGCCGACGCCAAGGGGGAAAAAAAAATATGGGTTTTGTTTTTTTTTAATACCTAGATAAAACAAAGTAGGATCTAAAAAAAAAAAAGCCTTAAAAAAAAAAAATATGATAGAATGAAAATGCGAGAAAGGAAACAAAAACTCTTTTTTTTCGTTTAATTTTTTTTTTTTCTTTAATTGGCGAAAATGGCCGGCGTAATGTTCTGAAAGAAAAAATTACAGAGTTAAATTTTAGTTGAATAAACATCAAAACTTTTCTCTCGACTGGTGAACCTGATTTATACATAAACATTACACAACAATGTATTATTGATTTTTGATTATTTTTGATTGAGTTACAATAAGCATAAAATTAATATGCGAATCTACCGAATTTAGGAAAAACCTGTTATTCCAATGTATTAAGCTGCAAATACGCATTTAGCTTGCATTTATGTTGTTGAATTCAAAATTAAACACTTAATTTCTCTAAACCACTCGTTTTTTATGTGTTTTTTCGGTTCTATTGACAAAGGTTATACTCTATCCTGAAACAGGAGATGTGTGTTAGAAACAAATAAACCATTAAGGACTGCCGTGACTACATATGAACAAAAAGATTGTCCCTTTTTACACAGTTGAAAAATCATGACACTTTTAGATGTTGATTGAGTTACCTTTAACCAGAGGAACCCGACATCTCTTTTAACACGCTTGACCCACGAGGGACAACCCGTGTAAGGGTTTTCATATTATCTTTCGACATCTAGTTAGCATGACACAAACTTTGATTCGGTTTTCATTGGTCTTAAATGTTCCGAATATTTTATTTATATTTCAAAAAAAAAAAAAAGCGGGAACTGTAAAACGTGGGATTTTAGAATAACATATAAAATCGATTGACATTTACAAAGACAAGATCGATGATTATTCGAAAATTATTAAGGCTGAATAACAAAATCTCCGTTGATTTGTACAATATGTAAGGTGAGGTAAATCTCGGTTATTTTATATTCCACTCGCTCATTAATAATTAATTATCAAATTACCATTTAAATTTAAAGGGTTTAATGGTTTATTTAAATTCGGAAGTTGGAATTTAATTTTTGGTTAGTGCGTTTGATGATAAATGTAATTGTTTTTTTTTGTTGCATAATTAATCATAAATAATAAAGAAAAAGAGAGAGTATACTCATTTTGGGACGAAAACTTCTTTTGAGGTTCCATGAGATTAGTTTATTTACTAAAAAGGAAGGTACAATAATAACTACTTTATCACGTTGCACGAAAATATTTCTTCTTATCAGCCACAATAAGATCTTGGAAAATTGTGCAGGGTAAACATGATCATTTGACGATGATGTTGATTAAAAGTCTTATTGAACCACCATTACATAAGAATATCGCTGTGATGTCATTGGTGTTGTTAAGTTGATTGTGATTTTGATGACGTTCAACACCTATAGTGATTGATTTGGATGTTGAAGTAACCGTAAGGTGTATCACTAACATCCATAATAGAAGCATAATATCCCTTGCTTATGATGACGATAAATACTATTGTTGTTGAAAGATTTGGAAGTAAGGCTTATCATAATAATGGCATATCATTTGCTTATTGCTTGGCCACTCTAAGAAATCAAAGATTAGACATGAAGGAGAGCATTGTTGCATTATTGACCATATTTACCGTATGCAATGCAATCGTTCATGTATGCAACGCTTCAAAGACAAAGACGACCAAAATAACAAACAATCCTTCACGGATCCTTTATTCTATGAAAACATCTCTGTGAATGAGCTCTCTGTTATGGTTCCAAACCACGAATCTACCATAAAAAATGATATATGATGAATGATTTGCTAAGACTTTGATTATATTATTTGAACTCTCGACCATTTGTCCAATTGTAAAGGCCTAAAATACACAATGCTTTTCTATTTTCGATTTACCATATGATGTGCATAGCTAATCTTCGGATTTGAACCATGACTATTTTTTTGGATATCGTAATATTTTACTCCAAAACTAAAAAAAAGGTTGGAAATTTAATGTACAATATTAAAGTAGATATTATTAACAATGCTTATCAATTTGTGAAAATCCTAGTTATATTTATCCAAGGGTATCTAAATCTAGACCATAATAGTTAGAATAATTATTGTTTTCTTGTTGAACAGTTTTTAAAATGGAATTTCATTTGAATATAACAAGTAAAGTACATAAAATAGGGCGTCCCATTTTCAAAGAAATGGTAGAATTTTTTTTTTTTTTAAATTTTTAAAAAAAAAATTATTCTCTTCATAGATAGATTATCATTCAACCAAAAAAAAAATATTTTATTATTTTTTTGATAAACTTGGGTTGAATATTCTTTGTCCTATTGATTTATTATTGAAAACAAAGACGTAGGCAGAAGGTTGATCCCATTTCAGCTGTTCCAATAGTAAAAAATTCTTTTAAAAGATCATTAAAAATTACCCATAATTTAAAAAAAAATTTTTTTGAGTAACATTTTTATTAATTAATTTCGTAAAATATAAAAGAAAAAACGGTTTGACCAACTTTTAAAAAAATATCAATTTTAACGTTCAATTTCTCCTCTTCTTTCCCCTCCCCTCCCTCCTTTTCCAACATCATTCACTTAAGATTATTAAAATGGCCGAAAAAATAAGCCAAAAAAAATCCGCTTTCCCCTCTTTACTCATAAAATCATTGTTACTCTTAATAAAACCACTTCCAATGACAATTCTAATTATTTTAATATGTCGATATATATGTTCCGGACCATTCCTACCATTATCATGTCAACTATTTTCATTAAATTGTCCAAAGGCCAGCGATACACTTCATGGATTTGTAGAAACGGAATTTTCCGAGATCAAAAATATCTTTAGCAAGAATATTGAAAGTGGATTAGAAATTGGTGCAAGTGTTGCGATTTATTATGAGAATAAGTTGGTAGTAGATTTAACGGGAGGTATCTCGAATTGGAATACTGGGAAAGTTTACGATGAGAATACTTTACAATTAACATTCAGTAGCGTCAAAGTATTGACCAGCTTGGTGGTTGCCAGATTAGTCGAACAAGGAATTCTCGATTATGATGAGAAAATTTCCACTTATTGGCCAGAATTCGCTCAAGGAAAAAAAGAAAATGTTACATTAGAACATTTAATGACACATCGTGCAGGAGTTGGATGGTTTGATAATCACCTAACAAAATTAGCGGAACTTCATGATTTAGATTCTTTCTCCAAAATTCTTGAATCTCAACCACATAATTTTGGAGGTGTTCCTACCAGGTCTTATCACGCATGTACGAGAGGATATTATTTGAACGAAATTGTGCGTCGCATGGATCCAAAGCATCGTACAATCGGACAAATAGTTCGAGAGGAAATTATGTCTCAATATAATATAGAATATTATTATTCCACCTCTGAAGAACTATACAAGTCTCGCGTAGCACAAATTTATTCTTATCCTCTTCCAAGGGTTTTAGCCAAATTAATTTTCCCTGAATTCATGTTGACCAATCCAATACACCCATTATTTTTCGATATGCTTTCTCCTGGAACCATAACTCACAAAACTTTAGTAAATTCATGCCCGGATCAAGCTCAACCCAAAGATTGGAATAAATTAGAAATGGTTAAGCCAGAAGGTCCATCATATAATGGCATAACTAATTCCCGTAGTATGGCAAAATTAGCTGCCATGATGGCAAATCATGGTAAATCACTTCCAAGCGATAAATTTGAACCTAGATTATTAAAGGATGAAACCTTAGAAAAATTCCTTGAAAGGTCTCACTCAACATTTGATCATGCTATATTGGAAAATTTTACCATTTCTAAAGGTGGAATTGGATTTTTTCGATTACCAGGCCTTGAAGAATATGAATTTTTAGGTTGGGGAGGATCCGGTGGGAGTTTATTAATATGGAATGAGGAATTAAAAATTGGATTTTCTTATTGTATGAATGCCTTTCACACTTCTTTACTAGGTGATGAAAGAAGTTTGGCCATGCTGATAGAAACTGTACGCACTGTTTTACGTTTAAAAAATATTTCTTAATAACCATTTTTAGAGGATTAATATATTATTATTATAACTGACAAGTTTTTATATTCACATTTGTATATTATTTTTGCACTTTACTTTTAATATTTTACGAACAAAATTTATATTACTTTTTTTTTTTTTTTTATTCGTTTAAAAAAAAAAAAAAAAAAAAAAAAAAATTGCGTTAAGGATACCGTTATTGATTTTTAATGACTTGAATTAGAAAGTTTTTATTGTTTGGATTACAATTTCCTTCAGCTAAAGCTGTAGGATTTATATATATATACAGTATATAACAACAGAATTTAAATAAAAAAAAAAAATCTTGAAAATGTAAATTTTAATTTTGTATATAAAAATGTATAAATCGAATACATTCGAGGCTGATCGATAATTTATTTAATTAAGCAATATCTGAAATATCTACTACGAATGGTAGGAAACTTTATTAAAGGTTTAATATATTAGATACAATTATAATGAATGTAAAATATTGATGCAATGCGAATTAAGTCACGAAGTAGTTATGCCCTCCTTTGAGTTCTTTTCTCGATCTTCTTAATGTCAGTCATGATTAATGCTAAGTAATATAAGGATGAGTAAAAATTGGACTTTACGCTAATGTTATTCAACCTAGCCGATCATGATTTCTTTGTGATTCAGCAGAAAGGCGCCTTTCCGATTTCCTCATATCGGCTCTTTATGCTCCTTACCACATACAAGACAAAGAATTCCAGAGGAATCACCTGAAAAATTAGGAATTAAGATGTGTCAGTTCTTTGTGTTTGGTCAAAAATAATTGAAATATTCATAGCTTTAGTAAGAAAAGCTTTAATATCTATAAATTTCTGAAATACATATTTAAGTTATTTTTTTGATGTATGCAAAAAGAGATAGGCAAAAGAATCGTATTCTTAATAGGTGATGTTCAAATGTAGGAAAGTACGTAACTAATTATAATTACAATAATTGTCTCATTAAGGTATATGCTCAGCTCACCAATCACGAATGCTAGAAACATGGTTTTGTATTTGTTTTAAACCTCAAAACCTAGCTAATATTCAGTAAAAATTTGATGTGCGATTATTAAGACCAAATTTTGCGCAATTTAGCTATCAACATCAAAAATTCTTACTTAATGAAATTTAAGTGTAGAAAAATTTTTTCAGTAGGCAGAATACTCAAAAAACCCGATACTGGATTCCAATTCTCCTCAGTGTCGCGATTCTAACAAGCTAAAATTCGTCCAAATCGGATCAGTTTTTTTTTTTTTTTTACACGGTAATATAATTTTATTAATTTTAAATTTAAGAAATCAAATAATACAAAGTAGAAAAAATAAAATATTATCTATATGATTCAACATAAACAAAATTATTTTCTAGAGACATTTCAAAAACTATAAAAGACCAGGTCTCTCCAAACCAGCCGGTTGGTTGTCTTGTCAAGTTTAAAAACAAATATAAAAACATAAGTCCTATTATGACTATTATGACTGTCCATTAAAAGGAAAAAGTTTGAAAAATAAAAAAGAAATTAAAAACAACTAGCTATTACTGACCCAAAAAGACTGTCCAATCTCTGCCATATATTATAAATAATCTGACTAAATCAATCCAATTGTAAAAATAGGTTGGTTAGAAAAAGAAGAGAAATTAATGTGTTGATTAAATGTGAATGTAAAAGTTCTGTCATATTTTCTTTTTTGTTTATCTAAGATGTGTAAAGATTTTTCTTTTTTAATTATGAGTTCACATCTAGGAAGCCAAATACATTGAATGTTATTGAAAAGGTTCAATAGAATAATGCCTTTAATTAAATTTATAAAGGTTAGAAAGTCATTTCTAGAGATGATAGTCCAAAGATCATCTGTGTTTAAATAGTTAATTAATGAGGTATATAGGACAAATTGGGATTCTGGAACAAAATTCTATAATATCTGTATAAATAGTAAACCTCTGCCTAAGTGCAAATGGTATACAAATTTTTATGCAATCTATATTGTATTCTAAATTACCCTATAAGACCAGAAAACATATCAAGAATCTATAATGAATTCATATTTTAAAACATGCTAGGTGTAAATTCTGTTAACTGATCTTCTTACCCATATTTTTTAGCTTTCAAGATAAAGGAATATACCATCTTTGTTAACGTACTAGCATATTTTTAATCCCAAATTATATAATAAAAAATATATGCTATTCTGTTTGCCCTAGAAATGAGTATAGAACACCAAGAACTGAAGTATTCGAGTGTGTTCTATATGAGTTTCTGCAAACTCAATAAACATACCTAAGTTTCATGTTATTATAGAATTAATTCTAAAGCTGATTCATTATCAAATAGCAAAGTCAAAAAGTTTAACCAAAAAAAATTCACATAACCAAGTCTATCCAAAAAAATCTAACCAAAAGTTATTATTTATTCTGAGTTTTTTAAGGCCTTATCACATAATCTGTTATAGTATTGGATCACATAATAACTTTTAATATGTAGTGGATACCGCTGTTAGCTGGAGGGCTAGAAATAAAACTTAGGTGATATAATTCAATCCTTCGAATTAATCACAATAACTTTATCACTATCACGCCTGTATGAAGATACAGCAAAAGGTAATAGTAAATGAATAACAAATATTTTTATTGGACTCTTGGTTTATTCACAAAACTCTATCTCGAGTTATCTTTCAACTCAAGGGAAAATACATGCTATTTATATAAAATAAACTAATAGTAATATAATATAATAAATATATCTAATATAATAAATATAACTAATATGATAAATATAATAAATAAAATAAATCTATCAAATATAACAAATTTAATAAAGTTAACAAATATAATAAATATAATTAATATGTTAAATATGGATCATCGGTCAAATATGACCAATGTCAAATAAGTCAACTATAAATTTGAAGATCAATTTTTGACGATCTTTTAATAATGTTAATCTTGCAGTTAACACTTCTCACTCCACAATTCTGGTGCATCATCCAAAATGCTAGACGTAACAATATTGACCACAAATTTGTTCACGTGTCTGTATAAAAAAAAATTGATGCCATTTTTTATAATTATTTTTTATTCAGAATTATAATGCAATGTTAATAAATTAATTTTTTTTTTTTTTGCTATCTAAAAGGTTGGAACAGTATTGTATCTGCGCAAGTTGCCAAACTTCTAGGATCACCAATAAAAGTTAGCCATTTCAAAGAAATTTTGAGCAGATTACAATGAAATGGCAAACCAAGTTTTAAAAATTACGGAGAAATAGAGAAAATGGCGTCGCCATTATTTTGGATTAATTAAACCATCTATTAAATGTATTGGTAATTCATTATCGATTTTTATTTTTATTTTTTTTTATTATATTATCTTGTGATATTTAACATAAGAAAAAATATAATTTTTGTATAGCATGGAATAAAGACTCGTTACTGGGAATTTTGAAAAATTACCATTAATTCTCGTATAACTGGATTACATTTACGAAGTAATCTTAATTTTATACTATCCAACCTTATATAAACGGCAGTTATAAAACTTTCTAACAAATTTATAAATTTAATAGGTTGGTAAAAAATCTAATTCCTAGTGGTGCTAGATCTGGTAAACTTTAAAAACATTATGCCAATCATGAAAAAAAAAATGAAATTGTTGTTTAAACTTTGGTAATCGATTTCCACAAATGCGAATTATGTCATCACAAATATTACCGCTAAATACGTTTTTTTTACGCCGAATCGGCAGGACTCAAATCAGTTTATATTGTTTGAAATACCAGACTAATATACAATAGTTAATAAAAGTTCAAAAATTTATTTTAATTTCTATAGGACGTGAATAATGTCTTTGAGTTCGACATCCCAAGCTTATGGCCAAAATGAAACACTCATTTCTTCAATTCGTAATATTATAAAGGTGTGTCTTTAATGCTTTGAAAGTTTATTGTTAACGAATTAATTCAATGTATATATTTTATATTATTCTACAAGGATTTTCCCTGTCAAAGTATACTTAAAGAATTCCTTCAAAATGGTAAGTGAAATGCGCAGATTTCCTTGAAGAACATACAAAATGCTTATTTCCCTAATAATAAAAAAAAGCCGATGACGCTGGAGCTTCTCGGTTTCATGTAATCATCGACGGACGTTCGCACCCCACCAATTCTTTGCTTTGCGACGAAATGAAGTCTTGGCAAGGCCCCGCCATCTTAATATTCAATAATGCAATGTTCAAGACAACCGACTTTGATTCGCTTATGCAGATACGTGTTGGCGGAAAACAAGACGATGATACAAAGATTGGAAAACATGGGTTAGGTTTTAACTCGTGTTACCACTTTACTGATGTTCCGAGTTTAATAAGTGGCGATTCTGTTGCGTTTTTGGATCCTCAAGAGAAATTTTTGCCAAGAAATCATGGCAAAACCCAACGTGGGATTATTGGACCTTTTCCAAAAAATGGTATTGGTGGTTATTCTGAAAAGGACCAATTGGTTCCTTATGAACCGTTCAACTTTTCAAGGAACACTCTTTCGAATACCACTTCGGTTACAACCAAGTGAAATATCTGACAGTATTTTTACAACGAATCAAATCCTCGAATTGTTCACCAGTCTTAAATCAATTATCTCCTCCCAATTTTTATTTCTTCGAAGCATCGAAACAATTGAAATTTCTCATATACCTGAGACATCTATTCCACCACA